GTATGTTTTTCATGGGTGTCTTGCTGTTAGCATTACAAATGAAAAAATTTTTCTAGATGTAAATTAGTTACAGGATATTTTTCCTTACATGGTATTTTTCCACTATCCCCCTTTTTTTGATTTGATTATTAGGAGGCTTTTTGGAAAATTTATAAAGCAGTCTAGATAACTTTAAATTTTAATTTTTTGCACAAAAATACGACTGCTTTAGGTTCATTGCATGTTAAGCAATTTTTCCATGAAATGAAAATTTTGGTTAATACTTCTTGAGCCAATTTTAATTAATCTGAAAAGTTGATTACTATTTTACTGTCAAATTTAATACTCTAACAACAATCTTAGTTTACACTGTAAATATTAGTGAAAAGGATTATTTTGCATCCTTGAGAAGGCCCTGAGCATTCCTGGTGTTAGGCTGGATTTAGATATAGGGTAGCTGCTGTTAGCCAAGTCTCTGTTTTCTGAGTACCGATCTCGGCTGGGCATGGGAATCGGGAAGCAGCCATGGGGGCAAGAGACCTCCCTCAGAAGGGGCGAGTGTTCAAGACCCTTCATAATTGGGGGGGGGGGGTGAGGATCTGTGCCCCATCTCTGTTGGCCCCCAAGTTCTCTCCTGAGGCCCCTCGGCAACTGTGCCTGTCTTAGGTCGTTCCTCCCTGAGGAATCTTACCCATCTCTGGCTAACCAGCCATCTTCCAGGGCCAAGCAGGGTGATGTGAGGTTTAGTTCTGTCCCCTTGGTAGCCTATGTCCCTATGGCCTCCACGCCTAGTAACTGCCTTGGGATCCCCTCGCCTGCTGGCGGGGCCTCGGCATTGATCATGGGGAACCCAAGTTTCTTCTCCAGAGAAGGCCCAGCTCATGCCATTGGGCAAGAGATAGATCCATGGTACCAGCCACTATAAGGCTTCAACCTCAGCATGAACAGAGAGCTCAGGCAACAGCTGTGGGCAACTGGAAGAGGGACCCCCTTGGCAAAAAGGGCAAGAGAGATTAATATAGAATGCTCAAGTGCCTTCCCAGGGAGCCCTCCACACAGTGGAAGGGATTAAATCCTTTCATGTCCTTATTAAATTGCTGCCAAACATTTAAAGAATTAGTTTGTAAGCTTGTTTGGAATAAATGTATAATATGCTGTTGTAAAATATTAAAAATTATTAATGAGCTTTTGTTATTTTAAATTATATCTTAAAATTCTACTGCTGTATTTCAAGAAATATTAAACAAAATAACTTGTTTTGCCCTTTCTTAGAGGCAAAAACCTAAAATATATATTTATTAACTTTTATTTGATAAAGCTTTCCATGTGATTTTAAGTATATTAAATTGGCTTTATTAAAAAATCCTTTAAGAAGAGAGAATAAACTTTTGAAAACATTTCAGGGCCCATGAAATGTCTCAAAGTTATTCCTTGGTTATAGTTTTGAAATCTAATTTGAAGGACCATTAAATATATATGTGTATATATAATTTAAAGATTATATACTTTTATAATTATTAAGAGATATCAATTAAATTAAAACTGATCTTTGTATATAAAAATTTTGGTTGTGATTATAGAATTTATTCTCTTTTTTAATCAGACCAATGAGTAATATATTTTGAATTCTGAATTTTTCAGAGGAAGCACAAGACTTACTAAAAAATAAATTTCTATACTTTAGGCATTTAGTTACCACAATTATAATTTTTCCCAATTTAATTTAACTAGAACTTTAAACTCTTAGCTGGCAAGTTAAATATTCAGCATTTCTTTAGATTAATAAGAGCAGGTGCTTCCTAACTTATGTAATTTTAAGTATATTGTATTAGTCTAATTTAGTATCGGAAGGGTTAAAGAGAAGAAAACAGGACAGGAAAATTTGTTTTGCTTAGTAGCAGCTTGCGGCCTTGAGTCCAGCATAGTTCAGATAAGTAAAAATTAACAAAGAACGAACTCTCCCTGCTCTCCCTGCCAACGGCCTTTTTCTTTTTTTTCTGCATTAACCATTTGGATATTGGGGATATTGTTGCAGATCCGGTGGCATTTGCTGCAGCTGTGGGGTTAACATTCACAGGAAAGAGTCCAGGGGTCTCCAGCCCTAAAGACGTCTTTGCTCCCCGTCCATGGATTGTCATCCGTGTCCCCCATGAAAGGATTACTTGGGGGCCACTGGGCAGTTAAACTTTTTGTTCGCTCTGCTAGGGGAGCGGGGGAGTGACTCTGGCAGGAAGCCTCCTGGTGAGACTCCCCTGCTTTCGCCTCGCTAGAGGTTTTTTTCTGTCTCAGTTTCAGCCTTCCTTGAGCTTTGAGAAACTACTTTTGGCTTGTTGAAAACGACCCAGGGATCTGCGGGGGCAGAGGGCTCTGGAGGGGAATAGGGAGGCAGAGGGTCTTCTGTTCCCCCGCCCGCACCGACGGTGGTGGAGAGATCCTCCGGTATGGGAAGTGCAGGCTTGGGCGGGGCTCCGCTTAGGCAGGCTAAGATTGCTAAAATAGCAGACAAGTCTTTCCCTCATGGACTTCTGCTGATCTTATCCTCTGTAATGCTTTCTCCCATGCACTGGGATCCCAAATGGGGGCTTCTAGCAACCAAAGGGTTAAATGCTATTATGACATCCCAGAGCTTTTGTAGCTCCTTTTCTGTTACTTTTACTCGCCTACTCTGTAACAACTCATGAAGCGCGTGAGCCTGAGGGGCTCGGGCTGAGGGGGGAAGGTTTCCCATCGTTACAGAGGGGCACTCACCCGTCCCGATGTGCCGGGGTCCCTGTTCGAGGTGCCAGATGGAACAGGGGGTCCCTCGGGGGTGAGGACGACGGAGCCCAACGCGCTGGGGCGCTTGCATGCACGACTCCGGAGACCAGGTTCAGAGACACAGATCTAAGTTTATTGAGGAAGTACAGCCGTATATAAAGGGGTAAGCAGCCAATGCAATAGGGACACGCTTGCTATGTTATCCAATGGGTGTGAGGGTCGGGGCTAAGAGTAGGTGGCTCTTGGAGATTTGTCAGGCGGGCGTTGCCACTTCCTGGTGTGCCAAGGAAGCATGTATGCTGGAGTGTGCTCACAGCGTTGCTTCGGCCGCAGCACTGATATAAATCTCTTGAGCTCTGCCCACAATTCAGTATCATCAATATGCTACTTGTATCAAAATATCACTGGCAATCCAATTCACACATTTATACATATGCCCCTAAAATGAGAAGCACTCCTGATGGTCTGATTTGCCACTGCATGGGAATTATAAAAGACAACACAGTCTGACATAATTTTCCAGCAATAGCTAAGTATAGTATTACCAAAAAGTAGAAGGAATTGGTATAAAGGGGGAATTTCTATTTTTAAAGAATTACATTATTTTTTTTATTATATTTCCTTATTGATTTCAGAGAAGAAGGGAGAGGGAGAGAGATAGAAACATCAATGATGAGAGAATCATTGATCGGCTGCCTCCTGCACACCCCCTACTGGGGATCGAGCCCACAACTCAGGCATGTGCCCTTGGCCGGAATCGAACCTGGGACCCTTCAGTTTGCAGGCCGATGCACTATCCACTGAGCCAAACTGGCTAGGGCTAAAGGGGGAAATTTTAAAACTCTGGAATAGAAACTTGACTTAAGCTAGGCTAAAAGAACTTCATATATGAAGTTCTAATTCAAAACACTCAGTTTACATGGAATCATCATGTATTATAGATTAAATTTAGCAAATTACTATTTTTCTCTAAGTCAAAAATGAATGATATTCTGTTATCCTATATAATAAAAGGTTAATATGCAAATTGTCACCTCTAGAGTTTGACCAACCGGGAGTTCAACCACTCGCTATGACATGCGCTGACCACCAGGGGGCAGCGCAGAACAAAGGAAGGCCCCAGTTGGCAGCTGGGGGAAGGAAGACCCCAATCGCTGGCCAGGCCTAGGGACCCTACCCATACATGAATTTTGTGCACTAGGCCTCTAGTTCTTCAATAAGAAAATTTGTGGGGTATTCTTGGTTTTGTTTTTTAAAGAATACTCAATGACCTGGCTGAATGGTTCAGATGGTTGGAGTGTTATCCCATGCACCAAAATGGTTGCAGGTTCTATTCCTGGTTAGGGCACATGCTTGGGATTCAGGTCCAATACCTGGTTGGGACCCGTACAGGAGGCAATGAATAGATGTTTCTCAGATCAATGTTTCTCTCTCTCACTTGCTCTAAAAATTGATAAAAATATATCCTTGGGTGAGGATTAAAAAAATAGTAAGAGCTTTTTAATTTTTTAGGGATCAGATAGGGAGAAAAGATAAATGTTCATTTTTGTTTACAAAGGTGTAATCTATTAAATTGTTGTAGTTAAAGATAGTTTAAGAGAGAAAAAAGTTCCTTATATCTATAAATAAGAACTTAGAGGTTTCAAACAAAAAGGCTATAAAAATTTTGTTTTTTCATCAGTTCATTCAGTCCCATCAAATTCTTTTTCTGTTTAATGTTTTTACTGATTTCAGAGAGGAAGGGAGAGAGATAGAAACATCATATGATGAATCATTAATTGGCTGCCTCCTGCACGTCCCCTACTGGGGAACGAACCAGCTACCCGGGCATGTGCCCTTGACTGGAATCGAACCCGGGACCCTTCAGTCCACAGGCCGATGCTCTATCCACTGAGCCAAACTGGCTAGAGCCCATCTAATTCTTGTTCTGTTTGATCTTGGGTTGGTGCTTTTATGAACCCGTCAGCTTCTCCATTAGTTCTAGAAATCCCTACTCAGTCCAGTGCTATAATCCGAAAGTTATTTAAGCAATGTCATTAGAAGTATGTACTCCAAAGTGACTGTCATAATCCTCTCCACGAGTCTCTGAAACAGTTCTTTCTTGAAGATGAAGCACTTCAGCTGACTGCAAGAGCTTTCAGGAAAGCCTCAAAGTAAAATAGTAAGTAACCTTGCTGGCTTTATTAGAGGTCCAGATATCTCAGCTATAGGCTTCTAAGTTAAGAAAACTTGGTTTTAAATTCATTCATCTGGACAGAAAAAAATTTTTTTTATTAAAAAAAAAGTAATGCCGCCGAAACCTGTTTGGCTCAGTGGATAGAGCGTCGGCCTGCGGACTAAAAGGTCCCGGGTTCGATTCCGGTCAAGGGCATGTACCTGGGTTGCGGGCACATCCCCAGTAGGAGATATGCAGGAGGCAGCTGATTGATGTTTCTCTCTCATCAATGTTTCTAATTCTCTCCCTTCCTCTCTGTAAAAAATTAATAAAATATATTTAAAAAAAAAAAAGTAATGCCTTTTTTAAAAAAATATTTTTATTGATTTCAGAGAGGAAAGGAGAGATAGAAACATCAACGATGAGGGAATCATTGATCGGCTGCCTCCTGCACACCCCCTACTGGGGTTCGAGCCCGCAACCTGGGCATGTACTAGTATGTGCCCCGACCAGGAATCGAACTGTGACCACCTAGTTTGATAGGTCAATGCTCAACCACTGAGCCACGCCAGCCGGACAGTAATGCCTTTTTTTCAGTCAAAATAATTTTGAGTATTGGCATTTTCATATGGTTCAACCTAACACATAATCTTTAGTAATATATTTCATTAACAGTACTGAAATAAGTCTAAGGGTGTTTTGAAAACAAGATAGCCAACTTTAACATCAAGCTCTTGTCAATTTTTAGAAGTTTAAAGCAATTATTTGTGGTATATTATAATCTTCAGAGAAAATGCAATGCTCCTGAAACCCCAAAGGACTTAAGCCAAGGATGAAATTGGGGCATGGATCTAGCAATGAGAGTTTACAGACTGAGAAGCCTGTTTCTCCACAGTGTCTTTGGATCCAAGTTTTTGGTCCCCCTCTCTTGTATCCTCTTTTTCTTTCCTGAAGCTTTTTAAAGGCACTGAAAAGGAATGAAGACTAACTCTTAACCCTGGCAAAGTCTAGAATGGGTGCTTAGTCTAGCAGGGAAAATGCTTTTCCTTGACAAGCTTCTTTCTTAGCTCTTCCTACATCACAGATATGAGACCTTGAGAAACACAATTAGAGTATAAGCCTAGGGAAAAGGGACCAAAGAAACTTGCTTTTAGTCAGGAGTTTTCAAATTGGGAGTAGGGTGGGAACTACAAGAGTAGGTTTCCTCCCATTTTCAACAGCTCTATTTTAGTATTTTCTGTATTGGGTTTCAGTATACAATATCATTGGGAAGAAAGGGAGAGGTTGTGTTGTTTTAAAAAATGAAGGCTGAAAGCCAGTGTCTATCTAGGGTTTAGGTTTCATATGGGAAAAAACTTTTCATTTTCACATGTAACCTAGTACAGCACAGTAGGACTAGAGGCTCCAGTCAGGAGTATTGGGGACTCAGAAACAGAGTAATTCTTTCTAGATTACCTCTGCATGCTTTCTTAGAAACATGTGGCAAACACTGGCTGCTAGTTAAAGATTTGGGTTTTCAGGACCTCTCTCCTATCTTTCTTTTCCTTGAAGACATTCCCTTTTTACATACCCCAAAAGAATTCAAATCACACATTAAGGTAGCTGACAGGAAATAAATTGTATATGAATTAAATTTGAAAAAAACACTTTTTAAAAATCAGTTTTTAACATGAAAGATGTAAACTAACCTGTTGTTGCACACTATACAAGGCCTGCTGAGGTTGTGAATATTGCTGGGGGGAAAAGATTTTTTAAAGAAAAATATGCATATTAGTTTTATTCATTATCAAAAAGCAATATAAACACAAGCATATAAATATATAAGCAGAATTATACTAAAATTTTCTGGAACAGCTCAATGTCATCCAAAATAAACAAAATAGTGATTATACTCTGGGATCCAACAAGAACTGAATTTTGTTCAAATAATTAAGATCTCTGAACTGCCCAATTTAAGAGTTTGTCTATGCAACTATACTCCAATGTCCTAGGCATATGCAATTTTTATCTCCAGAAAAAACAAAGCATAATAAGAACCCACAACCGTTCATTCTTTAAAAAGTGAAGGTGCCTACCCTTGTTACACAGATTTGATAGTTTTCTATGTCACATATCAAAACCTATTAGAGATTCACCTGTTGCAATGCAGCTGCTGCAGCTGCGGCTTGTTGCTGCAATGCTGCAGTTTGAGTTAACTGATAGTTTGCTGGGGTTTGCGTGGTAAGGCCTGCTGCCGCCAATGCAGTTTGCTGTGTATAAATGGTAGGAGATGCTCCAAGGAGTGATGGCTGCTGAACACCCAATGCAGCTAAAATGAGATTAAAAGGGGTGGGGGGAAGGGATCAAGATTATTTGGGTCCTTTCCAGGAATTTTCCATGACAGTTATGCATTATGGTCTGCCATGGTTTAATAAAAACACAGAGAAAAATTTTCAGTAATGCTTGTTGAATTTAACTGATTAATGTACCATACCAGATCCCAATGACTTTATATTAAATGTTCATGTAATGAAAGATATAAGAAAACATTCATCTACAAAATTAAACTACAGAATGAACCTAACCAACCTTACCTAAACCAAGAGGCTAAAAGTACTCACAAAAAGTATTTTTAAAAAAACAAAAACCATATTGCTTGGAGGAGAGGGGGGGAAGTATTTTAGGAAGAGCAAAAAAAAATTATTTTACAATAAAATTCCTGTTTTATCTTGAAGCAGATGATAATAATTTATTAAGGGCAATGTTGCTGAAAGTGATCCATCCATAAAAATTCCTATTGGACAGAATATTCACTTACCTTTACTTTGCATTAAAAAAATGTAAAACTGAAAACAGACAAAAGCAACACTTTAAAAGCACAAACATTTTTAATTAGAGTGCACTACTGTACTGAGCAATGAGAGCTAAAATTAACCACATAGTGACAAAAAATGAGTATTTACATAAGTCAAATAATTGGGTGGAGGGCTCATAATGACAAGTTTAGGTACTTAATGTTTAACGGATGCTTAGACAGGGCTAAAAGCTGAAGAGAACACAAGAAAGATTTTTCTTAATGCTTTTATGCAATTCCATTAAATGCAAAAAAGCAATCTATTAAAAATTACAGTCTAGCACTACACTTAACCAAACTGTATCTCCTGAAACAATAACTAGCTTGCCAGGACATTAAAGTTTGACACAAAGGGGTCCAAGTTTTAAAAAATATAAGAAACAGTGGCCCTGCCCTGGCCAGTTTTGTTCAGTGGATAGAGCATTGGCCCTCAGACGGAAGGGTCCCAGGTTCGATTCCGGCCAACGGCACATGCCCGGGTTGTGGGCTTGATCCCCAGTAGGGGGCGTACAGGAGGCAGTTGATCAATGATTCTCTCACATCATTGATGTTTCTATCTCTCTCTCCCTCTCCCTTCCTCTCTGAAATCAATAAAAATATATATTTAAAAAAAAGAAAAGAAAATGAAAACAGTGGCCCTGGCTGGTTTGGCTTGGTGGATAGGGTGTCGGCCTGTGTACTGAAGGGTCCCGGGTTTGATTCCGGTCAAGGGCACATGCCCGGGGTTGTGGGGCTTGAACCCCGGTGAGGGGCGTGCAAGGGGCGTCCAATCAATAATTCTCTCTCATCATTGATGTTTCTATGTCTTTCCCTCTCCCTTCCTCTCTGAAATCAATAAAAAGATGTTGCCCTGACTGGTTTGGCTCAGTGGATAGAGCGTTGGCCTGCGGACTGAAAGGTCCCAGGTTCGATTCCGGTCAAGGCATGTACCTTGGTTTCGGGCACATCCCCAGTAGGGGGTGTGCAGGAGGCAGCTGATCGATGTTTCTCTCTCATTGATGCTTCTAACTCTCTATCCCTCTCCCTTCCTCTCTGTAAAAAATCAATAAAATGTATTTTTAAAATATATGTAATAAAATAAAAACATGTTGAAATATGTTAATAAAACAAACAAACAGTAAATTAAGCACATAATTTTACTTCAGAATTTCTTAGAACCTTTAATATGCCACCAAAAATTATGAAGTTCAAAGACATTACCATAAAAGCAGTATTTGCTCATGGAACACTCCCTTTTCCATCTTGCTTGCATCAAGAATACCTTGAAAAATTGCTGCTCAGCAGCTATTAGTTAATAATCCTATAGAAAGAATAATATTATTCTTTATAGGAACAGAATAGAGAACACTAATGAACTAACTAAAGTACCTACTCTACAATATCCCAGAAAATCTTTAGGAGTGTGATATTCACCATCAATCAGTTGTTTAAGAGTACAGAGTAGAGAGAGAAACCAAGATGGCGACATAGGTAAACACCGGAAATTGCTGCCTCCCACAACAAATTCAAAAATACAACTAAAAGACAAAACGGACATCATCCAGAACCACAGGAAGGCTGGCTGAGTGGAAATTCTACAACTAGAAGGAAAGAGAAAAGCACACTGAGACTCAGAGGAG